GGATTATATCCTGTCAGTCAAAAGAGGGCGGGAAAACGCATGGATGTGGTGCTGTGTGTAAAGATGATGTCTCTTGTTTGGAATGACGACAAAACTGCAGTCTGTAATCTTTATAATCTCTGACTGATACAAATTTTACACCGTATGCTGCAGCAGTGAAGCGGGAGATTTCTGTGCTGCTGGAGTTGAATTAAAGGGCCAGGACACCAGTGAAAAATTTTAATGAATATTGTTGAGTTGACAAAAAAGTATCGACTTTTAAAAGTATATATATTACTCACATTAATGTGAGAAATGTGTTTTCTGTTTATGAGACCAGTTACTGTGAAACAACTTGTTGAAATGGAGAGAATAAATTTTTCATTTGTATTTCCTTCACAATAATTTTAAAAGTAATTATTATTAATTTAATAGAAGGCATAAAAGGCAGAACTATCTGTATCGGTTATCAGTATCAACCTATAACACTCTGAATAATCGGTTATCAGTATCAGTTGAGAAATTTTTTTAGCGGTGTAACTCTAATAATTACTTTTGAACATGACATTGAATGTGATTGGTTCATTCTGAACACAGCCACATCCCCAATTATAAAAGGGTGTGAACACTTATGCAACCAGTCTATTGTAACTTTTTTTTAAAATATTGTAAAATGTTTGATTTGTTTTTCATTAAAATTTTATGCATTGTAATTTCACACTGAGGGTGGGAAAAGGTCTGACTGATTAACTTGCATTTGCATTTTTATATCACAAAAACCTGCCATTTTTACGACGGGGTGTGTATAGTTTTTATATCCACTGTATGTGTACATAATTGACAGTAAATCACTAACCATACTATACACTGCACTTTTCATCCAATATTATAAAGCCTTTTAGAGATGGATAAACCCACTCCACGAGTGGTTGAAGCAGACCACATTCCACCAAAGAGTTGTTTAAATGAAGTCTATGACCTCCTCAGTGAAAATCCAGAAATGGCAAATTCACTCCAAAGCAACAACAAGGCAGCCTATGAGTTACTGATGAGCATGAAGGATGACCATAATGGAACAAATCAGCTCTGCATGAACAGCCTGTACTGGGATCATCGACGTGCGCTAACCACCGGCCACAGTTCTGAATCCAGAGCATGCAGGTCTCAACTCTTCCTGAACCATCCTGAACCTTTCTCTAGTACAATTTAAACTCCTAACATTAATTACCATGTTTTAAATGTATGTCCCCCAGACGATTGCTGACAGACACCTTATTAAGTGGAGATATGGAGAAAGTGTTAAAGCTGTCATTAATATCAGCTCACCCGGGAAGCTCAGAGAGCATTCGGAACAGTGAAGGTAACTCTTAGTTTTCTTCTTCTTTCATGTTTTGATTGAAACTGTGATCTTTGAAAATGTGGCTCAGTGGTAGAGATGGCTGTACATTACTTCACAGGGTTGGTGAGAGTCATTAAAGGTGAAGTTTCAATCAGAGAGAGAGAGAGAGTAAGAGAGAGAGAGAGAGAGAAAGTGAGAGAGACAGAGAGAGGGAGAGAGACAGACAGAGTGAGTGGGTGAGAGGGTGAGGGAGACAGAGGGAGAGAGTGTGAGAGGGAGAGTGTGGAGGAGAGGAGTGAGAGGGAGAGGTTGAGGGAGAGAGAGTGAGAGGGAGAGGGTGAGGGAGAGAGAGTGAGAGGGAGACAGAGGGAGACAGAGGGAGAGAGAGACAGAGGGAGAGAGAGTGAGTGTGAGAGGGAGAGAGAGAGAAAACAGAGGGAGAGAGAGAGAGAGGGAGAGAGAGACAAGAGGGACAGAGAGAGAGAGGCAGAGAGAGAGTGTGGACCTAACCTAACAGACTCTCTATATCTGATTTTATGGCAGGTATCTGTCGGAAGAATACAACCCAGAATTCTGGACGTAAAGCAACTGACACAAACAAATACTACAAGGATGGATTTAACAGTCTGGTAGATGAATACAGCAAAAGGAACCTGATAGACCAAAACCAAAAAGATCACCTGAAGGAGTGGGTGAAAGAGGAGAGATATTTGAACCCGTCTACACTGGAATATAAAGAAATAAAAGATGCTGTAAACAGAAGAAACACAGCCAGCACAAGCCCAAATTAACAAAAGAGAGGGAGATATTCAGAAAGAGTCATTCACAAAAGAGAGAGAGAAGTCATAAAGAAAGAGTCATTCATTAAGGAGAGAGTGGAGACACTCAGCATGGAGTCATTTAGAGACTAACGCACACAGCTGGACGTTCACAGCTGCTGTTTATATATCACGCGATGCACATAATTGCCATGTGACCTAAACACGGCAGGCATCACAAACAGGCATGTAACACAAGCGTCAGATACCAATCACGAAGACAGGGTTACACGTGTAACCCAGACGTTTTTTTTTTTTGTTTTGTTTGAGACATTTTTTAATTTCAGTATTTGTTTTGCTTTAGATATTTTTTGGTTTTGTTTTGTTTATATTTGATATTATGTACCCTCTTATATTATAAACTGCTCTCAAATAAATATATATATGATGAATGTAATCATTTAGTTGACTCTTTCAATACGCTGATCATCTGCTATCC